CTCATGCTACTTCTAGCCAATTCTCTGGTATGTCTCTCCTTGTTTGAATTTCTTCTTTGATTACACCCTTTGAATCTTCAGTTGTACTTTGACTATTTCTTTCTTAATTCTTGTTGAAATTTGAAATCTTATGGAGTCTTCTTCATTAGTTAATTTGAACTCTATATTGAGCATTTATTTGATCACCTTAATTTCATTCATGATCATGGAAGAGCCTACCCTGTATTTTTTCTCATAATATGATTTGATAAATTTGTGTGAAGTTCTGGAATTTCACAATAATTCAGAGACACCTACATACAATTTATTAGGAGGGTATTCAACTCTATTCATATCAGCTTATAGCAGGATGTAAGAAAGGATAAGCTCTACCACTACCACCCTGTATTTCCAGGAAAATTTACAAAACTTTGTTATGTATACGAATTTTACTTTGAATTCATTCTGAATGCGTGGGAAAATCATTATCCTTGTGCTTTCTTATCCTTTTCTGGGGTTCTGGAACTCACTTAAACATGTGTCTTTACAAATCAGTTCATGTGTTGGTTATATGAAGTTCTGGGGAATGAGTAATTTTCGTTGATTGCCCGAAATAAAGCATGTAAACCTATACTGGATTTCAAGCGTAAGGCTGGCTGCTTGAGAGTCTTGAACTCTGACCAATTATGTGATTGACAGCCAATTCTAATCCTTTCTTCTCATTGCAGTGTGTAAGTTACATGGTCTTGATTATAAACCCCTTTTAATTGATTTAGTATTTTAAAGGACACTCTTTTAAAGACTACTTTTTGTAAGTTCTGAAGTGCTTGCCTCACCCTAAACCTGAATAGAAATGGTCCATGGAATCTGTATACTGTTGGTGAACTTTTTTCAGTTTCCATTTAATATGTCGATGGAGATGGTAATTAGGAAACACAAAAATTGTAAAAAATAATGATACAACAAGTGTACTATGTAGTGAATTTTACACATGTAACATGATATATTGGCTACGAGTAATGCCCAAGCCAAACGAAGTGAGAAAAGATAAAGATTCTGCGACAAGTGTCAACCTGTATTTTATGGTGGTCTGGTGACTACAGGTTTGGATATGATTTTGTTTAAACTTTGTATCTGTCTTAAGGGATATGTGTTGTTGTAGTTTTGTATCGAAGATTCAATTACTTATGCGCAATACATAGCTCACACTTCACTAGTCGTGGACAATGCAACTTAGGTTCAGGCTTTATTGCACAAAAAATCTTACATTTTATTTATTTTTTTGTTTTTATATAGAAGCTACAGGTGCTTCTAGCAAGGGAAAACCTGACTCAACCTCTTCCAACCAGCAAACAACTTCAGGCGGTTCGAACAAAGCTCTTGTGGCACCAGAAGGTGGTACATTTGTCTCCAACAACCTCAGGTCCTTTAGCTTTAATGATCTCAAGAATGCCACTAAGAACTTCCGCTTAGAGAGTCTTCTTGGTGAGGGAGGGTTTGGGTGTGTCTTTAAAGGATGGATCGATGAGAACACTTATGCTCCGTGCAAACCAGGAACTGGAATGGTAGTAGCCATCAAAAAACTTAAGGCAGAAAGCTTTCAAGGTCACAGGGAATGGCTTGTATGTTAAAAGGACCACCTTATTAAGCTTTCTTAAACAGTTTCTTACAGAGCCTTGCCTAGCATCATAAAAACTTATCTTTGTTTTGATCTTTTCTAATTGGCAGACAGAAGTTAATTACTTGAGTCAGCTTCGTCATGAAAATCTGGTGAGACTCATTGGGTATTGTTTAGAGTGTGAGAACAGACTTTTAGTGTATGAATTCATGCCGAAGGGAAGTTTGGAAAACCATCTATTTAGAAGTAAGTAATTGTTTTTTCTCTATATCATTGCCTTGTATCATTTTTGCCCATTTTGGTATAAATTAAATCTTGTTTGTATCGCTAAAAGTAGCAGTGTTCCTTTTATCCAGTTAACTGTTAAATCTCTGTTCTCAAAAGGTAGGGTACTGTTATTAAGTAGTATCAATAAGCCAAGGACTTGGGTAAGTTCATGTGGTATATCCTTTGTGAGTTTGTGCTACTCGATTTCAAATTTGTCCATTGTGCACGGGATAGTCATTACCCAGTGTTTGTTGCACCAACTTGGCTGTGAAAATGTTGTTGGCATGGCATATATACCTAATATTCCATCAAAGTTCTGCAGAACCCATAGCAAACTGCCAATGTGGGAATTTTTCCAGTTCCAGCTATCCTGAGAGTTTCCTTTAAGACAAGACTAACCACATGATATAGCTGAAAGTACTGTCTACTTTGGAGTATGTTTATTTTCTTTATGCTGACAAATCTTTAGTAAATTCTTCTTTGCTTATATGAATTCTAGTTTTTTTATTCTTACATTTTTATATTAAATATATAAATCATGTGTAATTTGTCCTTTTGATAACTTATCTTGGATGGCAAGTCCTCTACCAACCAGGGCCAATTACTCTTCAGGACACATAACTAGAATTGAGTTTCTTGTTCATAAGCAGCAAGTTATAATGCTGCTAAGCTGGAAGACTTGGGGTGAAATTGAAGTTTTTTTTTTTGTTCCCTCACACCTTGTTTTCCATGTTAGTGCGATCACTTTGCAAAGAAAATTCTGCTGTATATTGTTTGGTTCATTCAAGCCATGTGTAATGTCCATGAATGCTGACATTCCAGAAATTATGAAAACTGACAGTATTACTCTATACCATCATTTCTTTCTGCAGAAGGTGTTCAGCCTATAACTTGGGCTACAAGAATGCGAATTGCAATTGATGTTGCTCGGGGGTTATCCTTCTTACATAATTTAGATGCCAACATAATCTACCGTGATCTAAAGGCTTCCAACATTCTACTTGATTCAGTATGTGACTTAGGCAAAGTTTAAAGAATTGAGCATAATGCAGGCCTTAAATTCACATGATCAGTTTTCACATCTCATGGAGCTATCTGTGATATGCTTTTTTAGGAGTTCAATGCAAAGCTTTCAGATTTTGGCTTAGCAAGAGATGGTCCTACAGGAGATAACACTCATGTTTCCACCAGAGTCGTGGGTACTCAGGGTTATGCTGCACCTGAATATATGGCGACAGGTTTCTGTTTTGCTACTATATCTTCTTTAGCTGCCTCCAGTTTAATTTTCAAGATCATTAATATGTTTCACTTCAAAACACAATAACGCACCTTATTCATTTTTTTTTTCTCTGGGGAAGTGGGGTGAGGAGCGGCTTTTGACCCATAGGGTTTACATACGTCAACTTTAGATTGCAGTAGAATCAATAATACAAGTTGAAAAAATTGAAGGAATACACACCACAATTTTATTAGCACTTAAAGTTTAGTCCATGTAGCTGCATAGTCTACTGGCTGACAAAAGGCATGACTATTATTGGTTATTGGCTGCTTAATTCAGTGCTGTTCCTTTTTCTCCCTGAAATGTCATTGACAAGGATATACCACAATTAATATCATTTATTGCCAAAGAATAGCAAAAAAATCTGCACAAAGGTGTTCCCTGTAAGTACTTGTTTAAAACCATAAAGGTAATTCGGGTTCGCCATCCTGTTGTCACAATTGCATGCGTCTTTTAGATGTCACATATGCAAGTCCTTTGCAGCAGAAACAAGTAAAGTATTCATAAAGCTGTAGTCACTGTAATTTCACCATTATTCCTTCTAATGCGTCATGATAGTGACATCGTCTTTGGCCCGAGGCACCTTGGAAACTCCACTTGTAGTCATGAGCCGCTATCATTTCAATCACGGCATTAAGGCACAGGTGTCTTTTTGTAGATGCCAAACAGGGTTCATTGCACTTGCTCTTCTAATCAGTTGGACAGGCCCATATGACATTATGGTGTGGGCTGCTTTTGCATGTTGCATGATTTCTTGTCAGTTATATCATCCTTCTAAAGCTAGTAGAAATGCAAGAGAAGTCTAAAAAGGCATAGGGGGTTAGGTATAACCCAGATTTAAGATCTTTATTTGTATAATAGCTCGACAGTAAACCTCTTGGTGCCAACAATATTCTGATTTGAAGATTGTTGCCTCTTGCTTCTCTGTTCTTGGTATCTTTTTTTAACTGCTCTTCCTCTTTATGTCATGTCTCATGACCATAATAAATCCAGAATAATTCTCTACTGGGATCCATCCACTTCTGTAGCTTTGTATATTCATGCACTTGTTTCTTTGCTTTCGGTACCTACTATACATCAGACTCTGGAATTATCACAAGTAGGCCTCTGGTATTTTAATCATAGTTCTCACTTTGAATGGGAAGATGATTGTGCATTAAAAGTCCTATTAAACCTGTGCACGTCTAACCATCACCTACGATTACTCATACTGATGAAAAATGTGTAGTATTTCCCTCAATTACAGATTTTCCCACTCTTCTCCCTGCAAACTGGTGTAAAGATATTGTTCATGACTTGCTCAAAGTCCATCATGACTAAGTTGGTCTCATGAGTTTGCTTGGAGTAAGACCAGTCCTTGACTATTCTTTCCAGCAAATTTTTTTCATATCTTTCGCCCAAATTATTTACCGAGGAATTGACAATCGATTTGAAACTGATGCAGCATATTAGCAAAAGTATAAGACTTTGCTCACCTGTGATCATTCCCAACTATAATAGCACTTCACAACATGTGAATCTGGCTTTGAAAATATCACCATATGAGGCTGTATAAATGTCAGATGGTTGGTAGACTACATCCATTTGAAAACACTTCAAGGAATGTGGAAACCGGCTCATGTCACAACCTAATATGTAGAATGAGTTCATTAAGGTGTTAGGGTTGCAAATAGCTTGAGTAGATAAGCTTGTAAGGCTCTGATATTTGCGAACATCGATATAAGCGGTATCTATAATTTTGTCCAACTTGTGATTTTCTCCTCATGCAGGTCACTTGACTCCAAAGAGCGATGTGTACAGTTTAGGAGTTGTATTGCTAGAGTTGCTCTCAGGAAGACGAGCAATGGATGACGAGAAAGCTGGGTCTGCTGAAGAAACCTTAGTGGACTGGGCAAAGCCATTCATAGGTGATAACAGGCGAGTTATGAGAATCATGGACACGAGGTTGGGGGGTCAGTACTCCAAGAAGGGGGCTCAAGCTGTAGGTGCCCTTGCATTGCGGTGCCTCTCCACGGATCCCAAATATAGGCCTCCCATGATGGAGGTTCTAACCACATTGGAACAACTACCCACATCAAAGGATGTTCCGAGGACTCCACCCCACGCTAAGTTGGATGATCCGAGGACCCCACCCCATGCTAAGTTGGAAGATTGTGGTATCAGGAACATGAATTACCCTCACAAGACAGCAAGTGCAACCACAAAGTTATAGGTTGTTTCCTCATACAAAAACAGTCTCTTCCTGATACAGAATTAAGATTAAACATAATTTCTTGCTGTTTTAGTCATAGCTTGTGTCAAAGATTATAGGTTGTGTCAAATATTGTAGTGGTTGTCTGTAAAAACCAAACGAATCTACAACAAGCAAGGTAAGCTCCAGTAAATAGTTCTGTTCCTCTTTTACTTCTGGAAATGTGATGCAATTGTATTGAATCGTATTTGATTAAGTTTGTGTTGAACTGCTTCCAATGAACTCAATTTCCAAGTATTGAAATTTTTAGTTTTTGTGGCACCAGAGGATAATTATGAAGAAAAGCTGAAATATAAGTAGTTCCTCGAATTTTTTTTTTTTGTGGTCAGGAAAAAAGTATTATAGTGCTTGAGACTTGTGAAACAGTTGTCACCAATTACAAAAGAAAAACAAACAGTACATTTAGCGAATCTAAAGAGAAGGGGATCTCTGCTAAACCAATGGCTCAGTGCCCTTCTGCTTGAGAAATTCAGCATTTGCCTCCATAGCTCAAATTACAAGCTGTTGTGGCCATGGTTTTCGGATGGTGGTACACCCAATCCGTTCTTGCCTTCCATATAAACCAACATAGGTATGCCATCGTGGTCTGTCTCTCCTTTGCTCCCGTTTCTCTCTTTTTTTCAAAAACTTTAGTTGATTTGTGAGCCAATTCTCAATTGTAGAAATCTTATATCTGCACAAATTGGGCATGTAGGGGCGTTAACCAATTTCCTTTTCCAGAGGCTCTGGCTTGTTGCCACCGCTCTATTCGCCACTTTCAATAAAACAAACGTTTTAACATTAGGGATTGCTCGAATGTTCCATACTCGCTTCCACAATCCTTTAGGAACCTGATAGGAGGATGATGCCACTGTGGTCTTCATGGATATTTGTTGCATTTTGGATCAGGGTGTGGTAGCCACTCTTAACTGAGTAATGATCATTCTTGTTGTATGTCCACCTTAAAGTGTCTTACTGGTTGGTATTTCAAGTGTGAAAGAAGATGAAACCAAGGGTGAGTTCTAGCTCCTTGAGTTATGCTGTATCAGCTCTTGTACTCTTGTAATGTTGCTATCGAGTGTCTTGGGAAAGTATTCGTATTCAGGAACCCAACTAACACCTCCAAACGTTAACCTGACTTCCATCACCTATTTGGCCAATAACACCCTTGTTTCAATAGATCCCTACCTTCCATAATCCCTTTCCATATCCATGAATCAACTGCTTTGGTTTTTGCTTGCCAGAAGGATTAGCTTGTAGGCTTTCAAAATTTGTGCCCATGAGGAAGGTTGTTGTGTTAGCCTCCATGCCTGTTTCGCTAGCATTGCATTATTGAAGCATTCTAGATCCCTAAACCCGATGCCACCATGCATCTCTCCTATTGTCATTTGTTCCAAACTCTTCCAATGAATCTCTTTCTCTTTTTCTTTGCCTTTCAGGTACGACGTTCTTAGGAGTACCAAAATTTATACAGATTTATAAGCAATGGAAAAAGAAAAGATAGGCTTATGTATTAGGAGAAATAAATTATGCAGGTTATAAGCAATGTACAGTGTATTAATTGATGTTGTTTTTGGTATTCCAAATATAGTAAAATTATTTATTGAATTTCTGCTTTGAAACATGTAATTCAAAACAAAACAATAACAGTTAAGAATGAAACAATTATAATAGTATATATGTGAAGACCCTGCTCCCATTACCGGAACCCTGTCTCCCAAGGGCACTCTCCCATTACCGGGATATACCGCCCTCCACAGAAGGATTTCGGCTAACCTGCAGGACTCGCCCCACAGTAGCCTTTACCTCCGTCCCACATCGGGGAAGGAGTCGTCTCCCCACCCCCATATAAGTCGAAGCACAATATGGAAGCAGTACCCATCTAGCACTAGTGCTATTTGGGTACTGCTTCCATATTGTGCTTCGGCTTATATGGGGGTGGGGAGACGACTCCTTCCCCGATGTGGGACGGAGGTAAAGGCTACTGTGGGGCGAGTCCTGCAGGTTAGCCGAAATCCTTCTGTGGAGGGCGGTATATCCCGGTAATGGGAGGAGTGCCCTTGGAGACAGGGTTCCCGGTAATGGGAGCAGGGTCTTCACAATATACGAAATAGTTATAGGTATAAAACAGTAATAGATACGAACGAAACAGTAACAAAATAAATTTATATTTAAACAATATAAAAATTAGCCTGTTTGCAGAATAGAAATTGTTTTTAAACTTTTAGTAGATAAAGGTTAGTGTTTGACACTATATCTTTAGACAGATTTTGCCCTCACACATGGTACTTATGAAAATCAAAGTGACTGTATCCAAAGATATAATGATTTTTACGTAAATAGAATTAACACTCCAATCTACTCGCCCAACGAACTAGAAATTATGTTGTGTACTCTCTAAATACAAACTGTTAATGATGTATGAGAATGCCTTAAATGACTACGAATTTGTTAGATGCACAATAATTATGTGACTGAATTATTTATAGATAAAATTATGACTGATCCGGACAGTCACCACATGGAACGGATGCAACAACTGAAATTTAGAATTGGAAGAAACACTAATCCAAACAAGTGCGAATTTTAAAGCCAACAGGTACTGAAATTAAATTCTGGTTAAGAAATTCACGCCCAATTTGTTAAACGCATTTTCTTAAAAAAGATAGGACTTAGTCTGACTCACACCCGAGCCCGGGCAAGGCTTAGCTGGGTCGGGGCGAGGCATGCGTGCGTGTATGGTTGAACTGAAGGCATACAGGTGTTCGCTCTGCTTATAAAATTGTGGTACCCCTTGGGGCCCAATCTCATAGATCAAACTTGACCTATATATGCTCATATAGAACTTCTTCCTCAACCAATGTGAAATTGGTATCAAACACATACATTGCACAACCTCTATTTTCTCATTTAAAGAGAGTCACTTTAGAACCTGTTTTTTTCATTCATTATTACTCGATTTTAGCAAGTAAATATACTACGTTATTCTTCTCACGGAATAAAATACTAACCCATGAAAATTTACTAGAAATAACGAGCGGATCCCACTTTAATTTAGGCTCAAAGCCGACCAAAAATCAAATTTTAATTATTAAAATCTTTTTTTAGTCCAACAATTGATACTGGTGCTGCTATAAGTGTATGTAGATGAAATGTGCTACCTTCGGAAAAATTGATGAGTATGAAACGCCTTATGCTAGCTAAAGGTAATGAAACATTAATCTGATTTAAAGCTAAAAAACTAGCAATCTAGTTAAATGGAAAACAATATATTGAGTGCAAATATTGAAGAAACCAAAAAGGAAAAAAAGTGTAATAAGTTGGGCAATTTGCATTTTATTTTCCTTTTGTGTTCTATCAAAAATTTAATTATTAAACTAAAGTGGAAGACTCAATTAGTGGTTTGATTAAAATTTTTTTAATGAGACCTATTAGTTCAATCATCCATACTAATATGATAAACAGAATTTGATAACAATATATGATAGTTAGTGCAGTGGTGTTTAAAAAATTGATATATAGGTGTAAACGATGGTACATGTTAAAAAGAACCAACAGAAAAAGTAAAAAGAAAAGGGAGGAGTAAACTATAAATGACCCCAAAACTATGTCTTTAATTTACCCCTTAAATTAAATTTTGTGTCAATATAAACCCTTAACTACTCAATGTCTCAATTTTGTTTAAATTTATGTTAATTTTAACGAAAAATTTTACGTGTACATTATATGAGTCACAGTCTAAGAATATTTAAGATCATATACGTGATATGTACGTGAAGTGTGTTATTGAATATATGTATATAACTAGATTATATTAAATTGTATAAAGTCTAATTTATGCACTACTCTAAACAGAATATGTAGAAATCAAAATCAGTGCACTTATAAGGGACGCAGATCAACACAAACAATAAATAAGAAAAAAAAACCAGAATTTTAATCCGAACTTTATGAAACACAATTTCCCTAATACAGATTTGCTCCTTCTCGATGCTCAAGGTCGATGAACAACTGTCTCTCAAGATAGAACGGATTTTACCTTCTTGAAGAAGTAACACTTCAATTTTCAAGATTTCAACGAACATAACTTATGTTTATACTTGAACCGAACCAAAAGAATAATGCAACAATATGCACAGAGAAAGAAGAAATTTTGAAACTGGAATCCAAAATGGGATGGATTGAAATGGTAGTGGGGTAGTCTATTTATAGACCATTGATGACTGTTCATATTGCCTGAAGAGGCATGGGTTGCCATTGTTCAGATTGAAGAAACACATTCTTTAATCTGAACAGAGAAAGACACCTCTTTAATCTAAACACAGCTTTTGGAATGAACTATACTCACTTTGGAGCCAAATTCAAAAACTAACAGATAGAAATTTAAAAAATTTTGTTGGATTTAAATTTCAGTTGGGATTTTAATTCCGATTCACGTTTTGATCCGATTGATTTGACTCATGACTTGCACAGTTTTAAATAAATTTTGTCCAAAAAGATTGAATTTTTTTGGCCTCAGCCCAGCCCAGTCGGGTCGGGGTCGTGGCGTGGCGGACGACGCGTGTGTGTGATAACCAAGGTAGTGTAGGCGTTCACTCTGCTTACAAAAGTGTGGTACCTCTTGGGGTCCAACTCATGAAGTCAACTAAGAGTATATTAACTCACCAAAGTGTTGATCTTCTTCTAATGTGGGACAAACCTTATTTTACTACGCCAATCTTAGTTTATTTCATCACTTCAAATATGTAACTTTAAGACATAATTTCTTATTTAAATCTTATTGATTTTGGATAAATAAATATACCACATTAATCTCCTCACGGAGGAGAACGCGTTTAACCTTGGTTCCACTAATTTTGAGGTGTAAGTCTCACTTTTTTTAAGCCTCAAATTGCTCAAAGAAACTTGTTTAAAACTATTTTTTTTCCAACAATCCCCTACATGAATGAAATTCGATGTATGATAATGCAGACACTGGTTCA